AGGGTTGCTTTTTGACTTTGTAATATGCTCTGCTGTGGACCCTGAGGAGTCAGCATTAGCCCTTAGGTGTCATGTTGCCCCAGAGAACAAGTGATGGAGCCTGTTCTGAAAATTGAGAGAACAGGGAATTCGAATTAACAAATTTGATGATGGTTGTATGAAGCTGTGACTGAGAAAACAAATGCCTGGGTGAAAAGATGGTGGTACACTCTTATGTATCGCATTTAGGGCAGTTTCCTGCACATGGAAAACTCAACATTTATTTCCCCTATCTGCCTGCTTCCAGCTTAAATTTGCCTCATCTCCTGCCCAGGTCTGATTGCAGGTTCCCAGCCTCTGAGGTTTCCTGGCTAGTAGGGCTGTGAAAGGTGCTTGAAGCTTGAACTTTCTGCCAGCAGAGGAGGAAACCAAATTGGACTTCCTACATCTTGGCCACATTTTTTCACCGCTAGGGCATTGGGTGAAAGAATGTCACTATATCCCGTGTCAGCTGTGTTTCAGAGGGAAGGGTGGTAGCTGTCTGCTTTTCAGTAGAAAGATCTTCAAGCGGACAGTTCACAAAGATGTTGTAAGGTGTGTGAGCTCTAAGAGAAAGATGGACTCCTGCAGGAGAAGCAAGATACACTCCTGAAAGAGGCCATTTAGATGGCAATTTAGATAGCATTTAGCTCAGCGTGAACACCACTTGGATGTACTGACTGTCTCTGTGGAGCTTCTGTAAGCTTTAAGAGCCTCATTCACAGTGATGGATGGCACTGGTGAGAATTGGTGAGTATCTGTGATGCTCTGTGTTGGTAGAAATAAGTCTTTTTGGAAAGCTGATCCTTGGCTTAATAAGTGTGCAGCTTAACTGCGCACTTCTGAGGGACTCATCAGGGCTGCAAAACTGGAGTGTCTTGCGTACGTGGTATTAAATGGGAGGAGAATGTTGAATCCAGGAGAACTAGAAGTTCCCTTAAGCAGAGGAACCCAATGTTGCTGGTTTTGTTTGTAAAAGTATGCATGGAAGAATCTGTGAATGTATAGATCTAAGGCTGTGGAATGGATGGCTAAGGCCTTGTATTAAAATCCATTTTTTGTGGCCATATTGGAGTCTTGCAAAAAAACCTGCTGGCATTTCATTTATGTGAGTTTTGGGTTACCTTAGAAAAAGGGCAGATAACACTCTCCAGATTACCCTTCCTCAGTTCTTTCACTGTCATTCCATTGTAACCTTGACTGTTACAATCTTGCTTAAGTAACACGAGGGATGATTTGCATCAGAGTCCCTGCCCCTGTTAGTCCTCAGATCTTTGCCTTTGGTTTATTTTCTGACTTGCTTTGTTTGTAAAAGGAGGCTGAATGTAGTATGAGCTAAGGTCTTATATTTGATAAAATGTGCTATTGGAGTGCTAGAGAAATCAGGACCTATAGTTTATTCAAGTGTAGCAATTCCTGAAATTCCTAATAAATCAGGATATGGTTAGCCTTTTGAGAGTGGCTCTTGCCTGTAGGATCCATTAGTGTCTGAGTCTGTAGCTTTTAATTTGCCTGAGGAGCTCTGAATTCATAAGGATTTTATTTGGCTTCTGCAAAGGAGGTTTCATTTATGGTTGTTGTTTTCCTCCACTGAAGGAAATGCAAAGCTATTACCTGTAAGCCTGCAGAGGTGAGTGGCTGGGGCTTTGCTTCTATCAGCTGTGCTGGTGGTAAATCTTCCTGAGGACAAGGCAATGAATAGAAAACCTAAGCTTTAATTGACAGGCTCAGACATGAAAAGAGAGACCTGTTTGATGCATTTCTCATTACTGGGCCAACAGAAGGTCAAGCTAATTAGTTCTCTTGATAACTTGCTTACTTCACTGTGGGAAAACTTGAATGTGTCTGAACAAAACTGGTTTGCAATTCAACAGAGAATTACCTTCCAAAATCATTAAAGAAACATTAAGGAAATCACAAGTGTAATGCACCTGAGCAGATTACAAGGTTCTGTTAAAATGGTGCATATTTAAAATTAGATACAATTTCTGCCTTCATTTAATGCACCTTCATCTCTTTAATGAGGACTCTTGTGAATTTTATAAAAGGGGAGTGGAAACTGTCCCAGGGCAACACTGTTTTACCAGTTGTTGTCTGGATCTAAGGCCAAATCTAAGGCTGATAGTACTTTATCTAGTTTGAGTCCAGTGAGTGTGTGCTCTGCGCTGAGGCTGGTTTTGCCTCTTACGTTTGTCAATGTGTATCATAATTATTTAAGGTTAATGTGGTCTTGGCAAGGGGAAGTTAGTCACGTTAATGTATTGCAGTATTTTACCTAAGAGTGAAGGATGTTTACAGCTCCCTTGGGAGAGCAAGTCTAGGGAAAACAAGAAGTTGAATTCCTGAAACAGAAAGTAGTTCCCCAGTAATGCAACTACTTTGCATGTTGATACATCTAGTCCAAAAAGCACCATGGGTTTAGCTGCTTTGTGCAGTGGAGGAATAAGCCTCTAGGGGTGTACTTGAATGCTTTCTGAGAACAGTGTCAGAGATAACTGTCTTGTAAAGTGATTAATTTTTTCCTTAAACATGCTCTGTGGTTCACATCAAAAGGGGATACAGATCTTGATAGCAGAAGTAATGTACAGGTGAACTAATTGTAAAAAATGGGAAGTATTTCAGTGCGTATTTTTCTGTTGGCTTTCTCTTGCAAAAAGGGCCCAGTTTTAGTAGAATACAGCAAAATTTGGCTTAAACACAGGGGTTAAGATTTTTTTTCTTTGAGAGTCCAAGTATGAATAATGTACTAAATTGTCTACTTTTGTCTTTCTTAAAGTGTGTTTAAGTCCTAAATATCAACTCTTTAATGTCAGTTTTGTGTTTAACTTCCCCTTTGAGAGAGAAGGGGAAAAAGCATTTTCATTTTTGTTTGTTTCTGTAGTTAATCCTTCTCTCCTTAACACCTTCTTCTGTGGTCTATTCCCTGCTGGCTCCTTCTGTTTTGCCTTGACATCTAGGCTTGGATCATGCATAAACAACACCTGATGGTGTCAGTGGGACCACTGCATACATGAGTGTCCTCGCAGTAGTGCCCTGCCAGTAGTAATGACATTCCAGCCCAAGTTTGACATTGATACCTGTTCCAAAGGCAGAGAGGAACTTTATCACATGCTTGTGTTGAAAAACACATGCATATGATTTTAAAGGGTTTTTCTTTTTTTTTTTAACGTGTCTGAAAGGCAGCCCAGCCCACACTGCTGCTTTAATAATTCTTCAGTATGAAGCTGTATATATGTGTGTATCTGTACAAATTGTGTGTGTATATAAGAAAAAACCCGGAACTGTGAGAATCCTACTTTTTTGTGTTTAATATTTGCATTAGTCAGTTGCTAAAATGAATCTTTGAATTATTTTTGGTGCATAATTTATTTTGATGTGTCTGTTACTCTTTTGACTTCCCAGACAAATCTAAAGAAGTCATTTAAGAACCTTTTTCCTTGAGACCTCAGACACTATTTCTGTAGCTGTTGTCAATAAATGGAAATTGGTTTCCATGTGCCATCAACACATAGTCCAGTGAAAAGATCTTTCTTTTTGCTCTGGAGTTTAGAGTTCATTCCTCTTTTTCCACAGAGCTACATAAGAGACATGATCTGGTTGCAGTTCAAATACCGATGTCACTTCATGCAGGTTTACTGTGTGTCTTGTAATAATTAGAGACCATGTGTAATGGTGCCTTTTCCCGCATTTGGATTTGTGTTAATAGACGGCAGCTGCTCTTTCTGTTACTGAAATAATCACAAACTCTTTTGATTCTGGTGTTAGTATGGATGAAATCATATTACTGGTCATAATGCTTACTAGTCTGAGTGTTCCCCTTGGCTCTGTGTGACAAAAACTGTGTGTAAGTGAAATCTGTTTGAACTGTATTTGGACACCTTAATGAAGTTCTTTTTAAACTGAAGTCCTCCTGGAAACCTACTGTTAAAAATTCAGCATTTGAGTTTTGTGGTATATATGAAGTCAAGGACTGATCTGGACAGAATGAGTTTTGTTGTGTAAATGGTGAACAAGGAGTCACACTGATCTGCAGCTAAGACCAGCAGTGTTTTTACTACTTGACACCTTTGTTCTTCCTTACATAAGCATCTTGATAAAAGAGGAAACGTACTCTACTATTGGAATTGAGAAAAGTTTTATTTGTTATATTTGCAGTAATATATGGGTGGTAGCTGTACTGCTGGAAGTGGACCCAAGTGGAAGTCATGCTAATACTCTGTTTTCATGGCCTCATTGTGTAAATACTTAAGTTCTTCCTTGTCATGTAGGTCCATGGGTGTAGTGCACACAGATTGATGAGCATCATGATAAAATCAGGGGTCTGGCTACAATGTGTATGTCATCCCTGGATGGATTGTTCTGTAACACTAGCAAGTGCTTTGAAGTCTTTTTGAAGCAGGCTAGTTTTAAATTAGTACATTTAGCAATGACCTGCTTCCTATTTTACTTTGGATCAAAGCTTTGAGGCTGCTGTTCCGCAGCAACAGGCTGTAGAAGTTTGGGTGGGTGAGGAATTGGGACCCTATGGGACTTTTGCATGCCAGTGCACTGGAAGTGCAAAGGTCAAATGGGAGCCCTGAGCCCTAACCTTAACATAGCACTGTCTAACCTAGCAGGCTGCCCTTTGCTAAACCTTGAAGTGCACAGTTTACAGTTGATACTAATCACATACCAGTATTAAACACAAATGCAGTATGTGCTCATGCAAGAGCAGTGAGATGTGGGTCTGTGTGAGTGAATAGAAGTAAAGGAAGCAGAGATGGCAGCTCATGTGGAGCAGGATTCCAAATACAAAGTGTTCCACATTTATCTGGGAGAAGAGAGAACTGAAGCCATTAAGTTACAATTACTTGACTCTCTTTGTCTCTGAACCACAGAAACAGTATGCACATTTTAATAACGTTGTGGTATGAGTAAGGACATCATTGTGCACAATTCTTTTGCTGACTCTAGTAATAAAGCATTCTGCCCTTTATTTATAGGACTGCCTCAAGGATCTGACAAGAGAAATTGAGTATGCTGCCAAGATATTAAATGAAATTCCCCAGAAAGACATTCAGTGCACTAAAAGAGCCTCAAAGGCAGAAAGGGAAGGAAATGGGCAAGGTAAGTCATACATAATGATCTCAGTTGGCGTCCATTGATCTCATCCAGAATCCTTTGAGAGTAGAATATCCATAAAAGTCTTTTAGATTCACTTGGATATTGTGGGTAGTGTTTGTGCTTACAGACATGTACTGTGCAGCACTAGGTGAACTGTGACAAGCCATTTGCTTATGACCCAACTAATTAAAAAATAAAAATAAAATTGTTGGCTCAGTCCCTTGCTGTTAATCTGAAAAGTCAGCAAAGGAATGCAGATTTTATCCAGAATATCATCATTCTCTCTGTAGTTTACACCCGTTTTCCCTGAAGGAGAAGCACCAGTAAGGAACTGTACTAAAAGAGATGAAAGGTCCCTTGAGCCTGTGCTTTGTCTCCAGTGGAAGGCAGTGATAGATACTTGGGTTGAAGATAGGAACAGGACAAGCACATAGAGATGTTCTTCAGAACTGTGATTCTTAGCTGTCTGTGGCTTGGAACCTTTCTGAACCATGTGGATTTATCTACTTTGGTTTTGAACTTTATGAGTTCCCACTCACAATGAACTATGTGCACCCACACGGCCTTGTACAGGATGTTCCAAAGGTGAATTATATGTTAATTTCAGTTTCTGTGTTGTGTTCAGTGCTTCCCCTGAAATTTCACTTGATGCTCCCTAGTTCTTCCGTTGTAGAATTCACAGGTGCTGACCCTTCCTGTTATGCTTCATGTGACTTCAAATTTCCCACCCTCTATCTCCTTTCCTACCAGAGAAATTCTCATCTACTTAAGTTGTTCCTCGTAACAGAAGTTGTTCTGTTCATGTATCTAACCTACCTGCTCATGAAGCTTTTGTTGTATAAGGAAAATGGGTGTTTGAGGGGAGAGCTGTCTGTAGTTCAGTTTTGTAACATCCCTGGCCTGAAAATGGAGGTCTTGAGATGAGAAAACTCTTGTTTTTCACCATATCCAGAAGTTCTGTGTTTCAGGTGGCTGTGTAAAGCAAAAGGTATTGATATCTATGGATCTTTGACAAACATTTTTATCTTTTGGGAAATTGTATTGTGATCAAAGGAACTGCTTGTGATGTGAGGAAAGCACTAATAAGTTTTGAAGGTCTTGAACACTACTAGTGTTCAAGTTAATGTTCAAGTGTTCCAGTGTTCAAGGTGAGGTTGGACAGGGCTTGGAGCAACCTGATCTAGTGGAAGGTGTCCCTACCCCGTCACAGAGGGTTGGAACTGGATGAGCTTTAATGTCCCTTCCAACCCAAACTAGTCTGGGATTCTATGAAGTTCTGTAAAAGCACAGTGCATGGTATTTTTTCTTGGTTTTGGTCTCCTGTGTTGGGAGGGAACATGTTGCAGAGCTGAGTTTGCGCTTTCACTGTAATGCTTGCACAGCTTCTTTGAGAAGATCTCATAGTAAGCACAGATATTTCACGAAGGATCAATGAAAAGTACATTCGTGTTCCCAAAATGCACTTAACACTTTTATGTCAACATTTTCCTGCAATACAGGAAGGTGATGCAAATATTTCTTAATATTACAAAGGGCTTCTAACCCATATCCAGAGAAAATGGAACACTGCTGTGTCTGTGGCTCTGTGAGTGAAGACACAGGAGCTGATCGGAAAATACGCAATCACTGTCAGCTCGGAAACTTTCTGTACATCTAGCTTGCAGTTTGCTGTGTTAGACATTGTTTACTGCTACTTAGTAGTCTTGTGCACAAATCTAGTTTTCTAACTGAGAAGGATGAAAGCATTTAAGCATGATTCGTGGTTTTTTTTTGAGGTGGTGGTTCTGGTGTTGATGTGATGCCGTCAACTAAGGTATCAAACCCAAGAGTGATCATGAATCAAGAGTCACCTAAATCTTTTGGGTAGGTGGTGGTTCTGTGTACCAACATTATATTGTGAATTACATTTCTAATCCTTCTGTTTCCTCTTGCAGCAGAAACAGAAGGGAATTCTAGTTTTACTGTGTTCATGAAAACAGTGCTAGTGCATTACCGTCTTTATTTAAATGATACTGAGGAAGTGCTTGAAGCTGTAGAAACTGTGTAAGAAATACTGAGGTTGTATCGTCTGAAATGTGCCAGTCTCCTTAATTTTGCTGTAATCACTGATTTGGGTAACTGGCAGAGGGTGTAATATCTCTTACTATTTTGTTTTCCTTTGTTAAATCAACCATTTAACTCTATTCTCCAGTTTATATAAGGTAGTTCATTACATGCTTTGTATACACAGACTCTAGATAGCATTAGACAGGCAGATGTAAGCTTCATGTTTGCATCTCACAGATTTTCACTGGGGTTTTCTGGTATGCTCAGATTGCTCTGGGGTACAGTAACAAACAGAACATTCTCATTGTGACAGTCCATGTCCTTTCCGATAGGAATGTTACCTGCATGGTACAGGTGTAGTGAGTGATGCTATTGCTGAAAAACTGGAATTTGTCCATTTCAGTTAAAACCTTAAATCCACAACCAAGAGGGACAGCACTGTGGCTAAGGATTGTAATAGTCCACATTGACACTCTGCTGGCCCAGATTTATGCTCCTGTCATGTGAGGTGGTCTCGTATGTAAATATCATTCAGGTTTTCCCCCAAAAGGAAAAGAATGTAGTGATGCCATGTAACATGCTTTGCACACAGATCTGTATAGACTTGTTAAAAAGAGTCTAAAGCTGGTAATAGGCTTAACACAGTTGTTTTGTTCACCACTGAAATGCAGGAAATACAGCAGATGTCCTGTACCCAAAATTAAACTGGTTTGGGTATCTTTATTCTTACAATTGAAACAACTCTGACTGCTTTGGAAAAGCAGTGAGTTATGGCCTGGTTTGCACTTAGGCTTGGGCTCAAACACCTGTGTGACACTAAATGAAAAAAATCTCTCAAAGTTTGATAAGCAAAAGATGTTGGTGTTTAAATAAAAACCCACTTTGAACCTGAGCAAATTCTTCTCCCTGCTCCATGACATTTCTATTAGAGTTTTTATTGATTGCAGAAGGAGCTTTAAATACTGTCTCTTCCAGCATTGGACCTCTTCCCTAAACAGCTGCACCTAAATTCTAGCAGATGTTTCTCTATTTTAGGCTTTTTGAAACCTCTGAGGATTATTTCCATTTAAGTACATTAGGACCAAATGGTGAATTACTGAAAGTCAAGAAACTTCACTTGTATCATAAAAGTGCTTTCTAATAAATAGAATAGGCAATATCAAGGCCTTTATTATTGTCTTCTGGATCAAATTGCTACAAATTAGTCCATATTTAGTCCAGTAAAACACTTGTGATTACTTTGTATTGAATAGGAACTGTGACGAAGTAACGTGGCAGTTGAATGAGCTGATGAATTAAAAAGGAGAATCTTCTACAGCTGGGAACCTCTTTGATGTGTCATTTATTATTTCTGTGCTCCACCATGTGCTGGTGACTTCCTTACAGTCTGCCTGTGTGTGTGTGTATGTGCACTAGGACTCTCAGTTTTGCTCCTGATGTTCAGATGATAGGGACCCAAAGCCGCCAGCCCAAACCCCATCTTTGGAAACTGCACTGGTTAAAACAAGCAACTAAACTGGCAGGCAATCAGAGGGTGGCCATGGCAGAGACAGTAAGGGATTTTAAGATCCTCAGCTGGTAATTTCTGCTTGGATAGGTTCTCCTACTTCTGTCATCTAAATTAGAACATTTCCTTTAAATTTATAAAGTGAGTGCGTGCCCTGTCTCACAGAATAAACAAATTCATTTTCATCATCTGTAGGTGTTAATCCCTGCCACACTAATTCAGAATTCCTAATGAGTTTTTGGCCATCATTTTTGGAACAAAGCCAGTTAGAGGGATGTATTTTAAATGGAGGTAATGTTAGGAAGGATATTTATGTGAATAAGAAGCTGTAGCAGTAGTAGAAAATTCTATTTTTAGTATAGTTTCTAGACCAAAGTCTGGTAAAAAATTGTGCCAACTTCCATGTATTGTTGTAGCTGAAAGAATAAGAGAATTGCAACTTTTTTTGATCTTGAACATCATCCTGATTTAGATCAGTGTGTTTTAAAATGCAAGCTAGCACCTGAAATTCATTTTTATACCTTCACATTGTGGCTTTTCTTGTTCATGTTTTTTTTTCCACCCCACATCACCTTAGTTTGTTCTGTTAAACAGAGATGTCATTTCCTTCTCACAGGGTTTCAACGTTGAAAATAGTGACAGAAAGAAGTGATTTTTTTTATTTTTTTTTTTCTGGCAGAAGAGGCTGAACTTCTGTGTTTATGTGCTGATTGACGTTTGGGTGGTTTGGAAAAGTGGTTTTGAAGTAGCTTGAGAAAATGGAAGTGATAAAAACTAAGACATTTACTTTCATAGTTGACTTATGTCCAGCAGCAGCTGTATTGAATGGAGCAGCCCTGAACCTGGGAGGGAATGTGCTCTAGATACATACTTTATAATTTGCTTTTGCCCACAAACCAGCTTAAATGTTAGCTGTGAACTGCAAATATGCTGCCTTCGGTGATATTCGGAGGTGGTTATAGCTTTACCTGACCTTCAGTCCTAATGGTCGTATCCCTTCTTTAATTTTCTCTAGATAGCGAGCTTGTCTCATCCTGAGCATTCATCTTTGGTTGCCTTGTTTGTTTTTTCAGTGCTGCTATTTCTATGTGCAGAATTGAATTTGGGATGACATTTGTAGGAGATACTTTAGGACAATAGATTGCTCTCAATTCTGGCCTTTCTGGCCATTGCTTGGTGTTGGGGATAGCTGGACTGATGCTATCCTCAGATGAATACCATCTTTTTGCAAGCATATGCATTTCTTTTAATGAAGTTAATTGTAGTTATAGCTGCTAAAATTCTACTTCTTTTGCTTAGCTGCTGGGTCAAGCTTGAAGCCCTTTGAAACTCTGAGATCTGAGTTGATTTTTTAAGCCATTTAAAATGCACCAAGGACCTGTACTCTTGCTGTTAGAAGGAGGAATAAAAGCTTAATTTTTATTTTTAAGAAGCCAATTTCTGTAGTAAT